GCTTTTGGTTGTGTATACTGACAAGAGAAGGAAGAAGCTGGAATCAGACATAAAACTTAAGGGTTACAAAATCCCTCTTCCCATTAAACCCCAGTCAGACAGCTGCAACATTTAAACTGAAATTAAAAATCAAACTACAGTGTGTGTTTGCAGTCATTGCCGCACCCAACAGCCACACTGAGAAAGCTTTATTCTTTCACCATCTGCATTGAAATGCAGCCCTGTGTTCAGGTACTCACAGAATGTACAGCTTATTTACATGCAGTGCTGGGTCTCAGGGCATAAGCTTTTATAGAAAATGAATCCATCTATAGAATTTCACTTCACAAACCTCCAGTAAAAAAGAGCCTGGCCTGCTTTGAGATGCCATAACAATAACTAAGCCCAACTGTTCTCAATATCCCAGATCGTTTGCCACCTGTTTCACTAACATGGATTGATTTTCACATGGAAAATGAATAAAATTCTGACCACACAAAATTTTTATTTATTTATTTTTTTTGCAGGCTGCAAACGTTTCAGAGTAAAATCAATTATTTAGCACACAAGGCTGTTGATGTTTGGAAGTAATAGTCAGTGAGAAGTGCACGAGCTTACGCATTATGAAGTCAACTCTCAGATCAATATCTTCATTTATTTTTTATCTTCTGTTGTTTTTTTCTGAAAAATAACCATGGTAACTTCAATAACTATGCCAAAGGCCCCAACACTCCCTTTTACAAAAAAAAAATCTTTATCATCCATTTTTATGTGTCACATTCTTCACTTTTCTCCCCCCTCCATATGCTGAGATGAATTCATTTGATCCGAATAGATATGTAATTTCTAACCGTGTTTGAGCTTGTTTTTAATATATGCCTTATTCTCGGTTTTTCATCTTCTATTGTTCTTCTCCAACCTTGTATCTGGCAGAGGTGAGTTTTGGCTCGGCAATGACCATATTCACCTGCTGACGAAGGCTAAAGACATGGTGCTACGCATAGAGCTGGAGGACTTTGAGGGAGTCCGGGAATATGCAAAATATGACCAGTTCTACGTGGCTAATGAGTACTTACGTTACCGACTTTCCATCAGCGGATACAGGTACAGTATTAGTTAATTTATCACATGATAATTCCAGCAATTCCAGCTCAGTGCTTGCTTAAAGTCAGAGGTACAATGGTCCTATTTGGGGGCTTTTAAAGATATATCGTCATTATATGCAAGGCCAGAGGAATAATCTGGTAGGATGTTTGATCTGGTAAAAGTCAGACTTTTAAATGTAGCCCACAAGATTAGATTATGTTGAGGTTTTAATAGTTTCAAAAATAGTTTTTAGCTTGTTTCACCCATCCCAGAGTCCGTGTTTGGGATCATTTTCCTGTTGCAGCACTTCAGTATTTTATAACAAAATCTTAATCGATTGTGTTCATGGTAGTTGGAAAGAACTTGAATGTAGCCACCCTTCACTACTTAACTCACTTAGTGCAATGTACCAGTCCCATCTGCAGAGACAAAGCCATGCTTTTGTCTCCATGACCATCTGAATTTTTTCTACACGATATCTGACTTGTCTTTGTTGGTTGCAGCAGATTCTAGCTAAACCTGTATCACTACCATACAGTCAGTTTAGACAGTTTTTTTTTTTTTTTTGGTTTAAAAGCAGAACTCTGGACAGTGAAAGCTGAGTTGTTTCTAGTGGCCAAATGATTTCCACTGTTACAGGACAGTTTGGTTCAAATGGATTACATTTTGATAGCATTGGGTATTCCAACATGGCACAACAAGAATGTCACAATATAGACCAATCAGACGTCTTGAATCATCGTCCCAAAGGTTGAACACTAACCTTAAAGTCTGTTATGTTTAGGTGGTGAAATATCCAATCAGAATTATGTAAGATAATTTCCTGCAAACATTAACAATATAGTAAAGGTCCAGATTATCTATAATGAGGGGTGCATGCAAAAACTTGAACCTGTATTTGGGCTATTCGATAAATTGAAATACATTAAACTTCTATACATATTTTTGGGCTACAATTAATGGTTATTATGAGTGTATATAAGTATTTCACTAAAACTGTATATACCCCAATCTGTTACAGTGGAACGGCAGGGAACGCCATGAGTTTCAACAAGCACTTCAACCACGACCAGAAGTTCTTCTCCACCCCTGACCGTGACAACGACATGTACCCTTCTGGAAACTGCGGTGGCTACTACAGCTCCGGCTGGTGGTTTGATGCCTGCATGTCCGCCAACCTCAACGGGAAGTACTACCACAAGAGGTACAAGGGCGTGAGGAACGGGATCTTCTGGGGAACATGGCACAACATGACGACAGAGTACTACCCCACCAACTACAGGCAGGCCTTCAAGACCGTCAAGATGATGATACGGCCCAAAAACTATGCTCCTTAAGAGGACAGACACATCTTTACCCAAAAGGGGGGGAAAAAAATTAATCCATGAAATTTAAAGTGAATACATTGTCCTTTAGCTATTCACATGCTTACATAGACACACACAGACACAAAAAAGATACGCTCTACAGAAAGTTTCACTGCAGTACTAACAAAACTCAGTGTGAAATACCATATTACTGTCCACCATCTCATTTTCACTGATGCAAGTGTGGCCTTTGAAATCTTGGATTAATATGAAAATAATCATAAAGGAGGAAAATCAGCTGTGAAAAATGACAGACAATAAAAAAAAACAGTAAAGGCCAGCCTTTTTCGGGTGCTGTAATATTCTACAGGATAATTTTTCACCAGTCCCTGACATTTCTCCCACTTTCGTCCCGCTGCATCCTGCTATAATCCCTGCTGAGACTCAGCACAGCACAGCACATACCAGTAGTAAAAACTAATGAGCTATCATTTTCTCTGCTGTAAATGATTTCATAATTAACAACGACCACTCAAGTGAGGGAGCTGATGATGGAGTTTTGCCTCTGAAATTACTCATGAAAAACTTCCTGCTGGGACTGTTTAATTACACTGGGGCAGTGTGGTAATGTATCATTATCCTAAACATTATGAATTTCCCCAGGGAGGATATGCAGCCTGAGAGGTCTCCTCATAGTTCGACTTGTATGCGGGACACTTTAGGTTGCAGACTCTTGATAAATTGGGCTAGACACTAAACAACTTCAATTATTTTCTCTCATCATCCCTTGATGCACTGCAGAGCTCCTAATGTTCCACATTTTTAACTTTTAGTTTCTCCTTATCAACCATATGTACAATACTGCCATCTAGTGCTGAGAGACAGTATATCACCACATATTTCATTTTATACACATTGAAAGGCAAAGATGGAGGGAAAAAAGCAGAAATGTTTATGTTTGAGGATCTGTACAGTATTTATTTTACCCTGTTATGTATCAGAGCTTTTATATGATAATATGTACTGCTGATCATGCAGTGCAAAGTCTATTCACTGTTGACTGTGTATAATTGTGAACATTCTAAGCAAATCCGTGCATATTTGGACCTCTGTGCATCAATCATACTGATCTTTTCTATTCATATTAATCTGTCATGCCAAAATTGATTCTACATTTTTACAATAAAAAAGAAGAAAAGAAAGTTTGATGGTGTATAGTCAATTTTTGCATTTGAGAGTTTTAGTACAAGATTCAATTCAGTTTATTTCTATAGCGCCAATTCACAAAACATCTCAAGGCACTTTACAGTTCACCAGATCACACATTCAATTCGATTCAAAGTTTTCTATCTAAGGAAAACCAGTTGATTGCATCGACTCCCTCACACTAAGCATGCCTGTAGCGACAGTGGAGAGGAAAAACTTCCTTTAAACAGGAAGAAACTGCCATCCCCAGTCTGCCGAGCCCGACTGTGGTTCAAGGAGACAGAAGCAGAGATAAAAAAAAAAAAGCAACTGTAAAAGGCAGACGAGCTCTGAGCCAACTCCTATGTCAGAGGATGAAGAGAGCACATACGCATACAAGAGCATGGTAAACAAATGAACAGCATTTCAATTCATTTTTACCAATCTGGTCTGTGCATTATTTAAATATAAATTCAAAATGCATTATTAAACAGGGTGCCCTTTATTTATCATGTGAGGAACTAAGTACATGTCTCATTGGCTTACACAAAAGCCTATTTGTGCATTTTCTGTACAACTCAGTCCTATTTTTTATGCACTGTGATCCTGTCTTATATACACACCACAGCATTTTTACTATGCAATGGTCTAAAAATGGATTTAACCACTGCTTTTCTACCCATTCTGCTATACATTTCTTGCTATGTTTGGAATCACTTTCAAATACTAGTTCGTACTCAGCTTAATTCACCCTCCTTTATATTCACTTGCTAAAAAATCACTAATAAGTGTGCAGGGACATTATTGTATTTTCAGATAAAATGGAAGTTTGTTTAGACAGACCCACAGACAGAAGGATATGGTTGAAATGGAGCAGATCTTCAGGTTTTTATCTCACCTTTGAGGGAATTTACTGGGGCATCAATAGTTTTTACAGTTTTTATAAACTCTGCACTAATTTTTTATTATAAAGAAAACACATTTCAGAGCTGAAAAAGTGCCAAAACTCTAACTTTATGTAGTGGTGGTAACATTGATAATATTCAGGTAATGAAGTTCAGCTGATTGGCCAATCAATCAGGATAGGAGCCAGCTGCGGCCAATCAGAGGCGCTGAAAATTGATTTATACCGTAAAAATAAAAATAAAATAAAATAGAATTATACTTTTCAGACTTAGCTTCTCCTACTTTATCAATTGTATGTCAAATACGCATAAAAGTAAGTATGATAAAATATTGTACCATGAGTATTTAGATTTAAAAACTAACTTTTCTTGCAAGTTTCAGATAGTCGCTCTCTGTATTGAAGAAAGATTACTTAGGAAATATGTTTGTAAATAAAATACCTACCAAAGTCAAAATCCTTTTTAAAACGCCTTAAATGTGCCACTCGTGTTAGAATTATTTTATTTTCTATTCTAATCCGATTATCGGTAGTTTTACCTCATCCAGGACTTGAAAAACAGGAGTAGAAGATT